AGTGAATTCCTTCAAAAGCTAGCAAAGCCTCCAATAACCAGCACCCATCCCAATATTTTATTTTATTACATTTACAGCTTTTCCGTTTGTGCCTGAGGAGTCATTTTCACAGCACTCATAACCTTGTTAAAGGAGGAAACTGAACAGGGGACCTGTTAACACCTAATGCACAGAAACTGGGGGAAATACATTGCAAGAGTATGTAGAGAATGTATGAGCTTTTCAATGACCTGCACTATTAATCCAAGCTTCTGAATCAATGCCCATAAGAATTAGGTGCTCCATAAATCTGCAGTGGAAATAACTCTGCGTGTGTGTGTGTGTAAGTGTGTGTGTGTGCGCGTGTGTGTGTGCGTGCGTGTGCCTGTGCATTTCTTCCTACACATACAGGTTCTGCACAAGGAAAAAGCAAAGCTGAGTTATAGCTTTTTGTAAAAATCAAAGCAGATCCTGTTTGCCACAATAAATGACAGCCGAGAAGGACTGTATATTACATCTTTGTTCTTTTCGCTGTTAAAGCAAAGATTTGGACCTGAGCACCTCGTATGAGTGGCTTGATCGGCTAGATTAGGAGCTCAGCTCACTGACTGCGAACAGAAATGCCCTCTCCATCAAGCAGCACCTTCCCCAAAGAAAATTCCATTAATACTAACACTAACACTAACATTTTCCATTTCAAAAGTGCATTGTTTCTTTAACAAACTCTAAATATGTTACTAGAAAAGTCCCAGAACAGTTCCAGTCATTTGCCCTTAGTAATCTACAAACTTAAAATGTATGATCTGTACCATAAGAGGAGCCAAGAATCCTCTCTTCTTCAGTGGATACAAGAAATAGTTAATCATCAGTTACAATGGCAAGACTTTACCAAAAAGTTATTTTTGCTGGTAAAAATACTTTCTTTAAAATGGGACCCTGAAAGTTAATTACCACTTCTAATTGTTTTCTGAGTTTTTTTTTTTTAAGTTTACCACTGCTTTTAAAAGCTTTCGTTAAAAAATAATCACGTTTCAGAACAATTCCTGAACATGTCTGTAGATTGAAAACATGCTCTGACAAAGTCGTAGGTTTTTTTCTTCCATTTAAAGGAAATAGAAATATTTCAAGATAACTAATGAGAAATAGAAATTAGGTGTTCCACTGCCTGTGAAATGCAAGCGTCTTTAATACTTCCCTCAAAGCTTCTCCTCCTTTTTTAGCTCTAGCAGTTGTAAGATAGGGTTACCCATAAACTTGCTTTCTCTAGATAGTATTGGGAGACATCGTCATGCCCCTTCAGCTAGTGCTATACTTCCATGAACTGTGTTCCTAAAGACCCTCTAGGGCATACACCAGAATACCGTATGGTTACACCCCATAAACGTTTTTTTTTTTTTTTTTGCAGCATGAGGAAATGGTGGAAGTTGGCTCTAGCACATTTCAACAACGTTACTCAGCCAAGCATAAGAATAAGAGAGCAGAATGGAAAAAAGAAAGAAAAGAAACACAGCGGTCTTTGGAACATTTACTTTTTGCCAGGATTTGAGGTACTTTCAGTTTAGGAACATTTTCCAGCTTCCCTATTAAAAAACCTTTTCTTAGCTATAAATAGTGTTAGTTAGGCAGCAGTGAGTGGCAAGTGAAATTTCATTTGATAACAAAATTTCCAAATCGGAGATCTCTGCTCTTTCAGCACGTGTATAGCCATGAACAATGAGGTCTTATCTTTCAAGGAGATGAGATCTTTGAATTGAATTCTCAGAGAGATGTCTTTGGCAGTGTGTTCTTCTGGTCTCTCTCCCTCACTGCACAGGAGTTGTGAAAAGAATGAAGTTGTATATTGTAGTGGAAGGACCAGACTCTTGCTGTTCTAACCGAGCATGTGGAGGCTAGTGGGGAATTATTCTTTGTTTTTCTTCCTTATCTCCAGTTTTCTCCATGTGATCCTAGGTGAGAGACAATGTTCCAGATTCTCAGCTGGTAGAAATGCATCCACTGTGGCCTAAGGAATAAGTGGCATTCCCACTTTTGGTTGTTACGGTGAAAGACTGAATAAAAACGCTGAGGATGGCTGAGGCAGGGTTGTTCTTAGCTTGAGGCAAGGGGGTGGAATAGGTGATGTCTGGAGGTCGCTTTTGTATCTATATGTCTATGATTCAGCAATGCTGGAGTGTAGGCAGCGAACCGAGTCTGCGGCCAGCAGTCCGATTTGCACATTTTTTGGATCCCTTGAGTGCCAGATCGGATTTTACAGTGTAATTTGATTTAAAAATATTCTATTCATCCACAGGAGAAGGTGACCATTTCCATAACAATCTTATCCTCTCTCCATAGGGTTTTCACTTGGTTGATTACTTTTTCATTTTTTATGGGTGTGCTTTTGCAGGTTTAGGTGAGAAAATTATGTTTTCCCCCATCCCAGGACTTCAGTAAGTCATCAAAGTTTCTCAGTTTTCCTTGACTGAAGTGAGAGCTATTTAAAGTATGTAATCTTCAAAACCTTTTCAGTGGAAGAAGTCCTTTAAGTGAAGTTTTTCCAAGTCCCGTGAAGGTCTATGGAAAAATCTGGATGCTCAGCTCTGACTGGGGGCTAAACGAGTCTAGTAAAAGCTGTACACCGTATCCCAGACGGTGCTTGGTCTGGACCTAGGGAATAAAGCAGTAAAATATCTTCTGGTTTCAGTGTTTCAGGATATATTTATTTCATATATCAGAGGGTGGGTGGAAGAGTGGAAGAAGAGACTGAAGCAAGCTGCAGGTTTTAGAGGCAGTGGGACTTAGTGAGACAGTTACACTCTTCTCTCCCAAGAAATGGAAATGAATCAATGCTCATTTACTCCAGAGCAACTTCCAGTGAGCTAAAAAAGGCAGGATTTGTGGGCCCTGCCCTGCCAGAAGCAAGGAGACAAAACCTGAGTTCCTGTCCCTCTGGGTCTACAAAAAGACAAAAGGCCTGTTTATAGGAGAAGTATAGTGAAGAAGGAAACCGGCCACAACAGATTTATGCAGCTGCAGCGGAAATCTATTTTTCCTCACCTCTGAACCAAATTTTCTCTGTACTTGTTTAGAACAGGTCTTGTTTGTTGCATATCCTCAATAATATCCCTTCACACTAGGAGTTGGATTGATTTTCCAAAATTTAGGACTTTACTGCTTTTTGAGATATCTTGTGCTATCCAACATACCCACATATGGCTAGCAGATAGGACAAAGGAGCTAAGGAAGACCCATGCCCTTTCTGGAGTGGCTACTGGAGGCCAGGGAGATTCCTCAAGGCACGGTAGTTATAGATGTCTCTGCTCAAACAACTGAATCCCTCTGGAAGTGGCATAATGGTCCTCCAGGGAGAAGGCAGTTGCTGTTAGCATCCAGACCTGGATGGTCAGAGCTAGGGAAGAAGTCAGTACTGTATCCCATTATTATAAACATCAAGTCACAGAAAATTTTTAATCTTATTGGCAGCACAGTCCTATTGTCTGAGCTCAGGCCATTTGGGGCAACAAAGAAAGGAAAGCAAAAAACGCTGTGCATCATTGGAGAAGGAGCCCTGCCAAAGAACTGGGTCCACAGGGATCACGGCAGAAAGCAAGACTCAAAATGACATCTTCCACGTTGAGTTAGCTTGACTCGGTAGATAACGTTACACAAAAGGGAAGCATTTCATCGGTCTCCGGTTGATGTCAATCATCTCATGTGTTGAGGTGAAAAGCTGACCTTTTTAAACTGAAATGCTTCCTCCAGGAACATTTAAATATATTGACTTTGTTCCAGTTTGAGGACGTTGAGGAAACGTCAAAATATCAGAGTCTCCTTGTGCAAGAGCAATGTCATTGCCCCATGTGCTGTGCAGTAGCATTTATTCCTTTGTTTATTCATCTGATTGATATTTTTTCAGTGGAAATTTTTTAACGGAGATGTTTAGGGTTGCTTTTGAAGACTGGAACAAGACTGAACATATTTCTTTGGGACTTCTTCTCTTTTCCTCCTCCTTTCCCAAGTAATATGATAAACTGAATCGTGTCTAGATTTCACAGGCACATGTCTAGACGTCATGGGCACACGTGCATGCATTTGCATACAGTCATACCCAAGCAGTGGCAGAGTGGCAAGGAAATAACACAGATAAACAGAACCTTGTTGATTCCATATAATGGCAGCAGGGAGATGGGAGTAGGGAGAAACTCAAAAAACAGAATGCCAGAAATGTGTGTGTGGGGGGGAAATTGTCAAAGAGGAAAGGGAGAGCTGATTGCTGCATTCCTATTTCTTTCAAGTAGAAACAAATCAAAAAATTGCCAGCCAATATGTTGACCGGCAGTACTTTATCCTGCACTAGAACTGGAGAGTAAGCCAAACCTTGGACTTTCTGCACATTGCATATCTTTAACTGAGAGATGAGAGACTTTATCATTAAAAAAATAATGGCTATCCAACATAGTAGTAGTATACACTTCCTTAACTTTAGCCATTTAAAGATATGTTTCTAGGCTCTCTCAGATACACGTCTTTTGGTGGCCATAAAAGCTAGTGTTGTCTTCTTTCTCTAATGATTCTAGAGGGAGCTTAGGGGATTAGTTTAAGCTAGACAACTCACATTCAGATGGTTAAAGTTAAGTGAAATTAATTCCATTTTTGCTGCTCATCCCCTGCTGCTGCTCAGTCTCCAGTTGAGACGCTGCATACTCTTTAACTCTAGGACAGCTTCTAGTGAGCTAATAAAGGAAGGAATTTATGATATCAGGAGAGGATCAACATCAAGATCGTTACTCACGACAAATGCCCTTGAAAAAACACAAGGCAGGCAGTGGGGGAGATGCTATGTAGACAGAAGAGTCCTGAAATAGAAACTTGGTCCAGCATTTCTATGAGATGTCAGCAATTTTTAACTGAGCTTTGCAGGCAGATATTCAACCAATTGGAACTAATCCATTTCCAAAAGAGGTGAATCAATGTCTAGCAATTCACTAAGCCAATTGCCCAAGTGCTGGTTGTTAGAAATCTGTATTTCATTGCTTCATGAGGGTAGAGTCCACTGGCACGCACAAGTGCATCCAAGGAGGCAGCCCCAAAGTCTCTTCTGAGCTGACGGGAACAGGAACCATGGCTGTCAAGCAGAACATCTCAGGGTAGGCCCTAAACCTCTGTCGGTGTGGTATGAGACACCAGGAGGGGTGAGGGGGAGGGAGGAAAAAGTGCCGTCTAAACTAAAGAATAATGTTGTTCCTGAGGTAGTGAGTATAAACTGGCCTTGAGTATGATCAGGCTGCAAAGGAAAAGATGGTCTCTGCCCATCCAAGGGGAGAAGTTTCCAAATGAACTGGCACAGCAAGGGCAGAAGCTGAGATAGTTATCTGAATACAGAGATGGATACATTTCCTTGTGTGTTATGTAATGAATTTTTACTGAAATAAGAAGGAGCCGAATCAAATGGAAAAGGAAATTTTGCTTTAAATTGGCTTATGTTATGGCCAGAGATTGCAGTGATTTGCCACCAAACCAATGAACGAGCCAAGTGGGTTATTCAGGTCTCTGGCTGTAGAATGGGGTAATGCATTTACCTTTGCAGGACGCAAAGGATGGCCCAGAGCTTAAACATCTTGTTTAGGATTTGAAAGACTTTAAACTCCAATAAAGTAAAAATTGCACCCTATGGGTCTTCCTGAAGGACAGCTACTTCAGGTGGAATTCAACTTCCTTATTAAGATAGCTAAAATTAGAGGAGAGATTCAAGCTGAGATTCAGACATCTAAAAAGGAAGGTTTAGCCACTGCATGGATTATTTTATTTACATGGACTCAACCAGAAACAAAAATTTCATTTTGAAAAGACCCTAGTCAGGTCTTTCGCATGCAACAGCCGGAGCATTCCTGAAGGCAGAACACAAGGCATTATATTCAGCGTTAAAGGCAACACGGTGTAGAGCCTTACGGTCTTCATTCCTTGATGCAGCACCACTTAAACACAAAGAGTAGTCTATCTCACCTAAGGATACATGTCTAAAAGTTCGATGTCTGGTCAGAGTGGTCTAGGCTCCCTCTAGAGTCAGTGGAGAGAGGCAGACATTTCCAGAAGGTCAGCTGGAGATTTGGAAGTGTCCCTGATCAGGGGGTCTGCATGACTTGCGGAGAAGAAAAGCTTGCCTTTTCAATAGTCACTGTTCACTTTGGTAAATCCCATGTGGCAGCTTCTGTGAAACCTGTTCTGTTTTATGCCAGTTCTTATCCGCCCTATCTTTGAGCTTGGTTCTGAAAGCAATGACTCTGATCTGGAAAACTCTGTCATAAACCCCACCGTTCCTTAATATCCATGTTGACCATCCCAGCACAATACGCGTTTTTCCCTTTGGTACCCAGTGAGCGAGTGTGTGGGAATCTTTCTTTCAGCTGAGTCTGCTACAAACCGGTGGACAATGACTCATTTTCTTTCCCAAAATCTAACCAAGGAAGCTTCTTAGTGCTGGAGGCTCTGACGGTCAGTTCCTTTGGACGGACTGTGGTTTCTGAAAAACTAACCTGACACCTCTCTAAGGCCTGTATGAGAGCAAAAGCTATGGTCAAGTCTCGAAAGTGACTTGTTACTGTAAAGACGAAATACTCTCGCAGGGTTGAGTAAGGTGGGAACTCTTAACCTGTTCTTTAAATACATAAATTCATCTGACCCTTTTGTTGTATGGCCTTTCAGGAATACAATAGCACTGTTTATGACTTGTAGTTTCCCTGAAGATAGACCACTTTCTGATTAAGGCAGCAGGCTGAACCCAGAAAACGCTCCAGGCTGATCACTGAGGTCATATTTGGACTGGCTACTCAGGTGCCCAATGTAGACGTGCCAGACATTTCTCCACCCTTTTCTGAATAAGGCATGGGTCCCACAGGTTTGGAAAGTGGGTTGGCTAAATCACTCATGGATTTCTTGACCTTAGGTTTCGTAGTATTTGTGGTATACCAGATTTACATGGTCTAAATACAGCGTTGTATTGTAGCAAGTGGGATTCGATGCACTTTAATTTAGGCGTTTAAAAATTGGCATCTAGTCTAAACTGGTTATGTAGGCATTGGACCAGAGACTGATTCTCCTCAGATACCTCTCCTAGAGCAGGCTACGCTGCTCTCTGGAGAAGCTGATCTCTCTTCGTGGACTCTAGAGGGAGCCTGGATGACTGCTTTAGAGTAGATATGCAATTTCTAGATAGCTAAAATGAGGTGATACAAATCCTGACATCTCTGTTTCTTATCTAGCAATTAGTATTGTATTTCACTACCTCAGCAAAACGCAACATTCAGGTCTTGGACTCTGTGCCATTCCAGATGTCTTGTATGTATACTTGGATGAGAGACAGCTAGGAAGCAATATAGGTACCATACACAAAACCCAGGGATGGCGGAGGGAACTTTAAAAACTGATGAAAGACTCTTGTTGCCATTAATTTGCTGGTGGATAGAAAAAATAATGGGAAAACTGGTAAATATTGCAGTTCTGCATAAATAAGAGAAAATTTCCTTAATCATTGAAGAATGTAAGAAAGTTATATCTATCAGTCACACTAAATTCTATCCTTCCTCATCGAAATGATAAAGTTTATCACAATTATTTTATAGCATTACACCTACTGAATTTTGTTGTGGACCTGTTTTGCTTCTGTCCTTGTCTATCTGCCTGTCAGCACTCCCGGTCCATATCTCAGTAACTTTTGAACCTGTTGCTCAATTTTAAATGAATTTAACAGATGGATGAGTCCTGTAAATATTAAGTTGCTGCAAGTTTTGTGAAAATACTTTGCTGGGTGGAGAAGAAAAATTCCAGAAAAGAGCTGCCCCCAAAGGAGAGGCTGCAGTGTGAACTCGATCACCAAGGAAGCCCTAGGATGGAGCCACAGGAAACGGAACTTGCTAAGAACTTTGCTCCTCTGTTCACAGAACTGCTTTTCTTTTTCTTTCTCTTTTGGCTAAGGCAGACAATTTTTCCTTACATCCTTCCCAAAGTTAAATAAAATTCATTTATTTTGAAGGATGCGTACACTGTAATCGTGCCAGGACACTGCGGTCTGCTGAGTATGAGTGGACGAAGCCTAATTTAGAACTGTGTTATAAAAAGAAAACTAGAGATAAAATAGTTTCTCCCCCAAATCCCTGCCATATATTAAAGCTCTCTTAAGCACGTTTTCAGTGGTTTCCTTAAGTGGCCACCTACTTTTGCAATGCTGATTTCAGCAGCACAAGTTCACACAGGGAGAGCTTATCGGACAGAGCTTCACACTGGGTGTTACTGGAAGTGTCTGGAGAAAACCGATTTGCAGAAGGTTTCCAAAAGGAGAGAAAGGAAAAGGGGAAATAGGGAAAAGGGGGAAAGGGGAAAGGAAAGAGGAGGGGAAGGGATGGGAGGGGAGAAGAAGATAGGAGAGCGAAAAAGGAAAGGGAGAAAGGGGAAAGAAACCGCTTTCAAGCCCATATCTAAACTTCCGGATGCTGATCTTTTTGTTTGTTTGTTTGTTTTCTCAAAATCAGTATAGACAATAATGACAACGGGGGCCGAGAAGGACGTGCATGATGTAACCAGGTTTGCCGTAGATATACAGCTCTTCGTGCTGTAAAGTTATGAACTTTATAGTTCATAAAAACTAGAGAAAGCTCTATCAAAGTTGGGAACCGTGTTATAACAGCCCCTACCAAGACCAGTACGTTCCGCTCAGCAATGCATTTATAAATGGCTCCTATTCCAAGACTGTAGCTTCTCAGTAGATGAGTCGGGCAAGAAAGTCTTGCTCACAGATGGTGAGCAGAATCATGGAGAAATTTAGTGACTTGATGGCGCTCGTAAAAGCAGACTGATATAGAGCTGGCAATCGATCCCGAACCCCTGAATTTCTGCCATATGACTTAAAATAATGTTGTCAGTGAATTTTAGTGATGTGCACGTAGGGTTTCAAGTTTGTTATCCGGATTCCTATTTCCCGTAACAGAGAGTGGCTAGCAGCTCCAGGTGTTTTGTTCCATCTAGTTCAGTCATCTGTCTTAAGAAAGAGTTAGCAAGCTTGGACTGCTGCTTCTTTGGTGCCTATTTGTAAAAAATGCACTCAAAAGATTTGGCTAATATGCCATATACAAAGGAACAAACTAGTAAGTTTGCCTTGTAGTGACTTCTTACGATGGTATATATGTAAATATATATATATGCATATTTTTACATATTCTTCTCTATATAGGGACTCATAAATAGCTAAATTACTTCTCCCAGCACTGTGGACAGACTATTTCAGCTAAATTTTTAACGGCTCAATAGAACTATTGGGATGAGATTCTTCTCAACGAATATTAGTTCCCTTTTTGTCAGGCATTCAGTCTTAAACTCCCTCTGGAGACAAAGGAGATTGACAGACACCTTCTCAGTGATTTATATTGTAGGTACACAGATGTCTAAAATGCCCTCATCTCTTGGCGGGCTGTGGAGGAGTTTAAATCCTTACTTTGGTTCTAGAGGGGACTTAGAAAATTGGTTCAGGTTAGACTCCTTAATTTTAGAAGGTTAAAGTGAGGTGAGAGATATACGATGCATCAAGACCACTTTTCTTTAGAGCCAGTCGTTACTGTTATGGGTGACCCATCACACCAGAACCGTAGTTTTGCAGTAATTTTAGGTTGCTTCTATTGCCAGCAGAGATGAACTCATATTGACTTCCAAGCCTTTCTCAATCACCTTTTCTGCTGAGCCATCACATTCATGCAGCTTTCTTGAACCAGACTAGAGAACTGAGCCAGACTACAACTAATGACATTTTCAGTTGGATTAGTTTTAATCCAAGAGGTTCCTTGAACAGGCCAATTTGGTGGCCAAAGGAATTTCTGTGGCATTCTTTGGAAGAATATGGCATGGGAGGACAGGAATGAGCAGGCAGGTGAGCAGAGGGGCTGAGATCACCTCTTTGGCAGCACTGAAATTTATGCAGGCTTCAACAGATTAGGGAGCAAAGGCCCAACGGAGACTCATGTCTGCGCTGATAAGAGTGTTCTGCAACCTGCAAAGAAAGTTACTGCCTGTGTTGCACCCCCAAGTGCAAATATTAGCTTAATTCTCCATGGCAAAGTTTAACTAAAATGCAAACAAATAAGCTGAGTTAGACTGAAGAATA